CCTGATAGATCTCAAGGTACCACAAACTCCTCCCTCCTTCCCTCCATATTTATTTCTTGATTTATTTGTTAAGTGCCTGCTTAATTGCAGAGCCTGGGGACTCCCTAGAGGCATCCCTATAAAACTCAGGGCATTTAGAGCCAGCAGTCTGAGGAGTGTTGGTTTCAACAATTGCACACCCTGCTTCCCTTGCCATAGTGGTTCCAATGAAGTAGGTAAGTCCTGGGATCCCAAACTCCCTAACCATAGGATCACTGACCTTTGCCTGGGGAACCTCAGTCCATCTTCCCAGACTGACAAGAGATAGTTTTGGAGGTTACTAGTGAGAAAGACTTCTCCACATCATCAAAGAATGGCATGATAAAAGTTCAGAAGGCCCTTAATGTCATCTAGATTAGTTCCTAACCAATGCAAAGCTCCCCTCTGCAGGACCCCTCCTGGGTTCTCATCCAATCTCTACTCACAGTGATGGATAGCTCACTCACTATTGAAGGAGTCAATTCCATTCATGAACAACACCAATAGTTACAGGTTTGCTTTTAGGTCAAGCCAAAAAAAAATAATCTTATAACTCTGACCTAGAGGTTCTATTTCTCCCATCCAGAGCCTCACAAAATATTTACTTCCTCTTTGACATGAAAGTCCTTTACATATTTGGAGCCATGTACCATAGACTGCCAAAGGCTGGTCTTCACCAGATAAAGGCACTCCCTTGGTCATATAAGTTTTTCACCATCTATCTTAAAATATAGTGCCCAGAATTGAAAACAGCACTCCCAAGAGCTCTGGCCAGTGGGACCATTTACCTCCCTGGATCTGGGTCCTATAGATGTGAGTGTTGCCTGCTACTCCTGCCTAGTCTCTCAGCAAACTCCTCCAGAGTATACATTTTCTGTTAATGTGGGGAGTTTTGCATGTGTCTGGATGGCAATGACAGAATTAGCATATGAGGCAATGGGTTAAAATATTTCTGCTTCACTCAGGAGAATGACTGTAGTAATTGATCGATCAGTAGCATTTATTAATTTCCTACTATGTGCCAGGCACCGTGCTTAATGCTGGGAGACAAATGCTATAGAAGTTAGGGAGAATCCAATTCATTAGTGCCTGTTGATGAAGGGACCAGGAATCTTCCACATCCTCATAGCCTAAAAATAAGAAATATTATTGTGACAGAGAAATTTCTGTTGTGCTGTATGGTAACAAGAAAGAGGGGACAATGTGGTTGGTAGTTGAAAGAACACTAGACTTTGGAGTCAGAGGCTGTTGGTTCAAATCCTGTCTCCAATTCATACTACCTCTTTGACCTGGACAACTCAATTTGACTCCTTGGATTTAGTCTCCTCACCTGTAAAATGAGATTAGATGGTTTCTGAGGCTCCATCTAGCTTTACATCTATTGTTCTGTGAAAGAATCTGCATCATACATCCTCTCTTGTTTTCCTCCAGCTCTCATAGCATGCTCAAGACATCTGGACTTGGAGGCAGAAAGACCTGAGCTGAAATTCTGAACCAGACACTTACCAGCTATGTAACCCTGAACAAGTATGTAACTTCTCTGGGCCTTAGTTTCCTGATCTGTTAAATGGTATTTAAGATCTCTCTCAGCTCTAAATCTATTACCCTATGATCCTCCAAGCACTTAACCCTGTGATGTTCTCCTTTAGAAAAGCATTGGACCTCTTCCTCTGAAGCCCAATCCTGCCCCCATAAGATTAGCATCCTTCAGTTATGGAGTCAGAGATCATGTTTTGCAGAATCATTCTAGGAATTGGAAAGAGCCTCCTATATAAAGCTGTCTTCCACCTCTACATCCACATTGCACATTCTACCAGAGCTGTCTTCCTAAAAGATAGGTCTGCTTATCCTGGCACCTGAAGGATTAGCCTTAGCACTGTGGAAAAATTGCTCATCATCTCCTCATATGTGGGATGAAGATAATAAAACTTCTGCTGCTCCTATTATGAGAAAGGACTTCTGAACTCTAATGTGCTATATTAAAATGAGATAATGATGATGTCCATATGGTATTCAAAAATCTAGTCATAGTTGTAAGGAAAGCTTTTTGTAACCTCAAAGCATCATAGAAATGTGAATTATTATTAGCAAAGCATTATATCACTCTGTCCCTTACTCAGAGGTTTTCCATTCAGTTCATTGTGTGCACTGTCCTTTGCTGGGTACTAGGAGAGATTTGGAGATATACAAAAAATGGTCCCTGTCCACATGGAGCTTACAGCCTAGTAGATGGGAGAAAGCAGGAATAGATTTGAGGAGAAAACAAGGAAAGATGTGATTAAAAAGTCATAATTAACGGAAAGAGTTATGGGAGAATATAGGAGGGTGAGAATACTGCTGGTTAGAGAGTCATGGAAGGTTTCAAAGGTAAAGGAGCATTTGAACTGAGACCTAAATAAATCATGGATTTTGACCAGTACAGAAATGGGTGGGCACTGAGGACCTTCCAGGGATAAGGAATAGCTGGAATAAAGGCTAAGGATTGGGCAAGTATCGACTACATTCACAGAATTTAGAGTTGTCCAGTCTGACTTGTGTTAAAAATGAAAAGCCCTTTCTGAAGTCTTCCCAGTAAGGGAACCATAGAAAAGTTTAGCTCTAAATCTCCAAAATATAGCAGCTGTTTTTATCCATATGAACCAGGCAGAGTCTATGCTGAAATAATACCTAAAGGAAAAAGAGGCTGAAATGATATGAAGATGAAACTTTATCTATATTCTGTGAATATAAAGAAATACTATAGTACCAGCCTGAAAGAGAGAGAAGGAGGTGGGAATGAGATTCATAAGCAGTTAAAGGAGAGGAAAAGCTCTATGTTTTAGTAAATTGAAATATCTTCATTTCTGGGCACCACGTTTGAGGATGGACATTGAGAAGATGGAGCATATTCAGATGGGGAAGATGTCTAGGGTAATGAGCACACTAGCAGCCATGATATGGTAGGATGCATTGAAGCAAATGGGGATTGTGTGGTTGGAGAAGACTTGGGGTAGTGGGAAGAGGGTAGAAAAGATCGCTTTCTGCAAACATTAGAAGTATTGTTCTGTGCAGGAGGGATTAGATTTATCCTCTTTGACTGCACAGGACAGAACTGGAAAAAATTGGTGGAAGTTGCAGAAAGAAAAGGGGATTTTATTTCAATATAAGGAATACTCAGAAACAATAATAATTGTCCAAAATTGAAATGAATTGGCTCTGGAATCAGTCATTTCTCTATATTAGGGAGATTTAAGTAGCAGTTTCATGACAACTTGGAGTTATTCTGGAGGTGATTCTTGTTCATGAACCAGTTGGACTAGATTACTTCTAAGGTGCCAAAGATTTTATATATGAATAAAAGAAGGAGAGATAACATAACAGGAATATGGAGACTAAAAAAAAAGAAAGAAGAATACTAATGCCCCAAATGAGATGAGCATGATGAAGAAAACTAAGGACAACTCAAGTTGTTTTTTTTTTGGTCTACTGCTGATTTCTGTGTTTTGGGTTATATTGGACGAAAAAGGAGGATTGAGAAAGGAATAACTGGCAACAGAGAAAACTCGGAGATGTTCAATTTTAGTTTTGCTTCTTCTTTCTCTGCCAAGATGAATGTCTTTGGACAGGAAAAAAAGTACAAAACAAGTAGGGACATAATTAGAGAGCACTCAACTTCCATTTATGAATTCAAGTTCCTTGCCATGCATAAGGGAAAGTAAGATCAGTTTGATTAGATTACAATTCACCTTGTAAAAAAATGAAAAATGATGTGCCAATTAGGTTGGCGCTAGATTGTAGAGGACTTTAACTGTAAAACAAAGGAGCATATATTTCCTTCTAGAGCAGGACTTCTTAACCTGGGAGCTATAAACTTGTTATTTTATGAAGTGTTTCCTAACTATATTTCAGTATCAATGGTCTTATTTGTAATGCTACATTTTTTAACTTTTCTGCATTTAAAAACATCACTCAGAGAAGTGTCCATAAGCTTGACCAGACTACAAAAAGGATCTGTGACAGAAAAAAAAGTTAAGAATCTCTGTTCTAGAGGTATTTGGTGATGAATGGATTTTAATGAAGAGTGGCATGGCTAGATATGAGTTTTAGGAAAATCATTTTGATAACTAAGAAGAGGAATTAATTGTAGTGGGAAGAGATATGACACAAGGAAATCAATTAAGAGGTTGTTGCATTAGTCCACATGGACTACAAAGTTTGCAGTGGAGTGATCCATGGATCTATGCTTGTCTCTGTACTGTTTAACATTTTAATCAGTGTCATAGATAAAAGCATAGATGAAATGCTTATCCATCATACAAATGACACAAAGCAGTAACGGATAACTACCAGTATGCATAATAGAATTAAAAAAAAGAGGCAGCTAGGTGGCGCAGCGGATAGAGCACCAGCCCTGAAGTCAGGAGGACCTGAGTTCAAATCCAGCCTCAGACCAAACACTTAACACTTATTAGCCGTGTGACTCTGGGCAAGTCACTTACCCCCAGTTGCCTAAAAATTAAAAAAAAAACCTAAAAATAATAAAAAAAGAATCAAAACCAGAATTTGATGGACAAAAATGTTGATCCAAATAAAGATAAATAAATATAAATAAAATACAATAAAAGAAAATAGTTTAATAAGGGAAAAATAGTTTCACACAAGGATTAAAATTACCTTCACAAGTATATGATGTATGAAACATCATTAAACAGTAATTCATTTGAAAAAAATCTGGGGTTTTAGTAGACTTCAAGCTCAACCGGCACAGTGTACTAGGAAGAAGGAGGTGATATTCTTGTTCCCTGATTAGGTTATATCATGAGTACTGTGTTCAGCTCTATACATCATAGCTTACTAAAGATATTGTTAAGCTGTATATTGTGTCCAGAAAAGGACAACCAGGATGGTTAATGGCCTCAAGTTCAGGCCATGGGAGGTTCAGTTTAAAATCTAGAAGTGTTTACCTAGACAAGAGAAAATGTAAGCATGATATCTGTCTTAAAATGATCAAGAGACTGGGTCATGTGGAAGAGGCATTAGCTGTGTTTGGCTTGGCCCAGAAAGCAGGAATAGTGGATGGAAGATGCAATGCTTGGTATAAGGAAAAATTTCATCATTCAAGTTATCGAAAAACTGCTGGAGGTAATGGGGTTCTCCTCATTACACATCTTTACATAACACTTGGATGATTACTTTTCAAGTATGGTGAAGAGGAGATTCATTTGGGGCTATGGCTTGGGTAAAATGGTTACTAAGGTCCCTACCAGCTCAAAAATCTGAGATCCTATGATTCCAGCTCTGAGATTGAATAACTATAATTTTCTGAGCCTTACTTTTGAGGCTATTTCTCCTAAGTTTAGGAGTAATGCTTTTTAGACATAACTAACTCAGTTCGCTAAAGAGGTTTTTTAATTTGTTTGTTTTTGTTTGTTTGTTTGTTTGTTTTTAGCACATTCTAGTTTGGAGACTGCAGAAATTCTGGCAGCAGAGGAAGTCTTCACTCTCCTCAGCTTCAGAGAGGGTTTGAGGTAAAGGTCAATTAGAGAGTGAGAAAACAGTCAAGGTGTGGCTTTCTGTGGTTCAGGAAGGAGCTGAGGAAAGAAGGAAGAGAAAAAAAGGAGTAAGGGAGTAACAGGAGGAAGAGAAGACAAGGAGGGCAAGGGGAACAAGAATGAAGTGCTAACTAGGAGAAAAGGGAAAGAAAGGGAGAAACAGGAAGGCCACAAGATCCACAGAGGATAGTTAGAGTGAACAAGAAAGACTTCCTACATGAGTTGAGTTGTAAATCTGCCTTAAAGAAGGTAATCAACAAGGATTGACTGAAAGATTAAGGGAAATTATTCTAAGTGTTGGCAAAAAGTGAAAGATAGGACATATTGCGGAGATTGACTTCACTAGAATAGAAGGTATATGCTGAGCAACACAATGAGATATAAATTTAAATAGAGTAGTTTTAGATTATAGCAGTCTTTAACGCCAGACTGAGGGATCTGATCAACAATGACCTACCTTTCCTTTTCTTTCCATGAAATCTGACTGTATAGCTTGAACAAAACTCCCAGGATGGGAAGTTCTTCCACTAATGGCACAGGTCACCTCTCTTCACTCTAACAGGCCTCCCAGGGCTTGAAGACTCCCAACACTGGATGTTCCTTCTCCTTGGAGTCCTCTACACTGTCTCTATTGTGGGAAATAGCCTAATTCTCTTCATTGTCAAAGAGGAGCAAAGTCTGCACCAACCCATGTACTATTTCTTGTCCCTGCTTTCAGTCAATGATCTTGGTGTGTCCTTGTCCACACTGCCCTCAGTGTTAGCCACTTTCTGCTTCCATACCCAGGAGATTGCATTTGATGTCTGCATGGCACAGATGTTCTTCATCCACCTCTTCTCTTTCATGGAGTCTGGGATCTTACTAGCCATGAGCTTTGATCGTTATGTGGCTATCTGCAACCCACTGAGATATTCTACCATTCTCACTGATGCTCGAGTTGCACAAACATGCCTGTTCATTGGTATCCGAAGCTTCTGTGTGGTTTTTCCTTTGCCCTTCCTTCTGAAGCGTCTGCCTTTCTGTAAAGCCAACATCTTGTCCCATGCTTACTGCCTTCACCCAGACCTGATCCGTCTACCCTGTGGGGATATTACTATCAATAACATCTTTGGTCTGTCGTTGTCATCTGTACTTTTGCCCTGGATTCTGCACTCATCCTCCTCTCTTACCTTCTCATCCTCCGCTCTGTGCTGGCCATTGCCTCCCAAGAAGAGCGGCTTAAAACTCTCAACACTTGTGTGTCTCACATATGTGCAGTACTTATTTTCTATGTGCCCATGGTGGGTATCCATGGTTCATCGATATGGGAGATATGCACCACCATATGTGTATACACTAATGTCCCTTGTCTACCTCTTTGTCCCTCCCATGCTCAATCCTGTCATCTATTCCATCAAGACAAAGGAGATCCGTAGAAGGCTTATCAGGGTATTCTCTATGATTGAATGCTGAACAGGAGAAGCTAGAAAAAGAACACTAGCCACACACAGCAACATCCTATCACGTTCACTGTGACTTTAAGTGTTGGTTTTATAAGATTTGCACAAAGATACTAGTGTCTGTCATTTGGGTAAGCTCTAATATACTGAATATTTTAGAGAATCAGGGTCATGATGTCATATTCTGAGCAGACAGACTTCTCATACTAGTTTAATTCTCTGAGTCATAGCCTCTTGCAGTCATTTCCATTAGGTTCTACTTGTTCTCTATATGTACTATGCATTTCACATCAGTTCAGCTTTTACAGCAACTTAATCTTAGAAATGATCATAATGTAAATTATATCATAGACCAGATTCATTTTTTTTTTCATGGAAATAAAGTTCTTATCAGGGAAGTTCCTGGGCATAGACTTGGTTTCAAAGACATTGTAATTATTAACAACTTTTTTTTCTTTTAAGCAAAAAGAGAATAACTTTAATCTACTTTAAGCTACCAAATACCGCTCATGTTAGGGATTGGAGGACTGACTGACATCTTGGGATTTACAGTTCAAAGGGAAAAGCATTCACTTCTTAGTTTTGAGAGCAATTGGGCACTATGGGGATCCTTGAGACAGATGACAGAATAAAGTCATACCCCAGAGTTCTTAAAGAGATACGTACAGGTAAAGAAAGTGACTAAGAGGAATCAATCAACAGTCAATCAATAAACATTTATTAAATGCCTGCCCTGTGCCAGACACTGTGGTAATTGCTAGAAGAAAAGAGGTCTCAACGTCTGACTTTCAGGAAGAAACTTTTAACCTTCCCAGTCCTGCCTAAGCCTTAGAGAGCTTAGCCAGAAACATTCTGGTAAAGGGGACATAAGGAAAAGATGAAAGAGAAGGAAGGGCTGAATTGTGGTAGAAAAAGGCTGCTATAGGAGCCAAGAGGCCTTAAGTAGAATCCACCAGTTGTACCCACCTCTTCAAGGATTCAGGGAAGTTCCATAAGAGGTCTACTCTTCCCCTACTCTCCCTCATGATACCTGTCTGTTAATAGACTATGGAAAATCTACTGGCTTTTTTACCCAAACATTTCCATAACCTGAATTCTGCTTTATCTTTTATCATCAGGTGATGGGTTATTAAGAGATAAACATAAATTTAAATCAGGACAGAGCCAAACCTCTTTGTAAACATTAGAAAATTTTCTTAATTGGGACATCTAAATTACTGAGGTTGTGCTCCTGACTTTTCCTAGAATGGAAACTTTGGAAAGTAATAGAAGGCTTAGAGTAGGCAATTAAAAAATGTTTATTGACTGACTGACCACATGGAGCTGAGAGGCCTAGTCTAAGAAAGTAGCATACCACACTAGTAGTATCATAATGTGGCTTGATAAAATCTATAGACTGAAAGGAGGAAGAGAAAAGAATGCAGTGATATGAAGTGTCTGCAGTACAGTTACACCTTCCACATCAACGCTACCCAACCACTATTGTTACAAACTTAAGTACGTGAAATGGGCATAAAGACAACAATATATGTGTAATGAACAGAGTATTAGACTTGGAGTCCAGAAGGCCTTGATTTTCATCTATCTATGACACTAATTATTCTTAACTGTTTTACCATGAGTAAAATATTATACAACTCTGGGTGTTAAGGAGGACTAGCATCTCTGGTGCAAGGGCTTGTTGAGGCTTTTTCAGGCCTGCTTTCTGCCTTTGCTCTCCACCTGCCCCCCAACACTCACCTGTGGCTCCAAGAGGCTATAGCACATACACCAGCCACACCCCAGTAAAACCATTTCCACAGATTGACTAAACCACATTGAGGGTAACTGACAGGCCTCAAACCCAATGATGAGGTAGGGGGAATGTCTACCACAAGCATGTGAAGACTTCATCCGGGGGAGTGGATGGAATCCCAGATAAGAATAATTTGTTCCAATGGGACATGAAGGCGGCTGAAGCAGGAGCTGTGGAGCACTTAGAGCACTGTCAGGCATAGAAGATGCCATGGTCATCTACTGCATCCTGAACCATCCCCAGCTATCTTGACTTTTGCCCTGCCACTGGACTTTGATGACTGGAGGAAAGAGTGAGGCTGATGACTTCTCCCCACTCTGCCTCATTTAAATCCAATTTACATGCAAGTCAAAACATCATTATACATTTCTGAGACTTGGTTTCCTCATCTATAAAGTGGGAATAATAATTACCTTACAAGAGTTTTATGGAGACTAAAATGAAATAATAAATATAAAGTGTTTTATTAACTTAAAATTGACCTAAAACATACACTATTATTATTCTACAAAAAGTAGATAAATAACTAATAAAATATACAAGTAGATTATCATAAAACTTATGTGTTTATAGTGAAATCTTGCACAATCCTGGGAAAAGCTTCATGAGCTGCAAAGCCTGATAGACTAGTTAGGCAGAATTATTAACAGTGTATGGACATTGAGCTCTATGTCTTCAAAGAACTGTGAGGCTGTTGTGGCATCAGGGAGGGGAAGGAGAAATGGAGGCATCAAGGAATTCTGAGGGAGAAGAGAGGCAAGTCTAAAGGCCAGGACCCATAGCTTCCTCCATTCCTTTCCCAGTGTAGATTCTAGGCAAGTCAACAAGCATGAATTACTTACTAGGTTCCAGGCACTGTACTAAGCACTGGGAATAAAAATACAAGTAAATAAGACATTCCTAACCCTCAAGGAGCTTACATTCTAAAGAAGTAAGACAACCTACAAAATGAAGCAGTAAAAGGTAGGAGAAGGTATGCATTTGGGGGCATGGTAAAGAAAGTCTGAAGAGTCAGGAGTGGAGCCTGGAGAGAAAGGAAGACATGACTGGCCTGGGCACATTATTAAAATGGAGTTTCTGGGAGGAAGCAACCAATCAGAGTAAGGGGCTCCAGGGAGAAGGTAATTCTAGCATGAGAAGTCCAGAAGTGGAGCGAACTTCCAGGATGAGGAGGCTTCTGTAGAGGCATGGTAGAGAAGGACCAGAGAGTCAGGAGTAGAGTAAATGGAGAGGAGGAGGGTAATGAGGCTTGTTCATTGTTTTGGTCCTGACCCTCTCTATTTCTGGCTGACTCTGTGACCTAGGACAAGTCACTTTTCCTTCTCTGAGCATTGATTCCCCTGTTTGTACATGCAAAATCAATAAAAGTCTGACTAAATGAACTCCAAGGTCCTTTTTAGCTCTTAGAGTTTAGGGTCTAACATGGCATTCAGTAGTGGAAAGAAGTCTGAATTTGTACTTAGATGACCTGCTGTCCTGTGCTGGCTGTGCTACTTACTACATGTATGACCTCACAAATCCACTCACCTCTTTGGGTCTCAGTTTCCTTATCTGTAAAAAAGAAAGCTCCAATCTAAGTGGAATCTAAAGTCCCTTCAGGCTCCAAACCTGTGAACCTATGAACCTGTGACTTTGGGTCAAATCTTTGCTACTTACTGTGTAATCTGGGATAAATCACTTCACATCTCAGGTTCTCAGTTACTTCTCATGTAAAATAAGAGTGAAACACTAAGAACTCCGAGTTCTTCATTTATGATCCAGTGACAAATCTTGTTACAGAGAAGAGATTTTAAAAAAAAATGCACCTCCCTCTTCTCAGTGAGAAGGTGGTGAATTCTTTGGGTGGGTCCAAAGTATTGGGTAAGATGTCAGACACAGTTGCTGTGTTGGTTGGTTTTCCTTACCTTTTTTTTTTTTAATGTTACAAGGAATAGTTCAAAGGGCTTGGAGGCAGAAGAAGGGTATGTCAGAAATGACTATGAAATAAAAATAGCACATCAATAATTTTTTGGAAGAATGACACAGAATGGGCATAAGGAGGCAGCTACATATTACCAGTGACAATTTCTGTACAAAAAAGTAGAATATGAGACATGAATGTCATGTGTGATTGAGAATGGAGATAAATCAATCCTGTAGTAAGTACTAAGCACACACTTAGTAGGGACCCATTGCTCACATGCCACTGTGGTAGGCACTAGCAGGGATATAAAGTTTAGTCACTACAAGCTCTTATCTAAAGAGGAATTTGTAGATGGGGCCATTACACAGAATTCCTCATGCAGTTGAATTCTATCTATAGCAGCAAGAAGAACTGATGTGAGATGCATACTGGATTATTAGAATAGTCACGTTAAACACCAAGGTGGATGTTATGATTGCCTTTGTTATAGAATAATTGTTTGTTGTTCAGAATTCAGACTAACAACAATAACATAAAAAAAAAGTATGATGTGTTTGTCTTTGCCAAAACTATGGAAACCACTCTGGTATACCCAGCCAGCTATGACATTTGCATTAGCAAAAGGTCAAAGTGACTGAAAGAAGTGGTTTAGAAGGAGTAAATTCTAAGGCATGGCATTGTAAGCTCAACTCTGATCCTATCTTCTGTATTGTCTTGTTAACGCTTCTTAAGTAACCCAATTTAACTATAGGACTAATAATTTGGTTGTGCTCTAGTAGGGCCTTTGGATTTAGTGTCAGTTTTTTTTTAATTCCCCTTAGTTATCAAGGAATTCTTCACTACAGTGCCATTACTTGTGAAAAGATTGTTCACATTTAAAATCTGTAGGAATTTAAATTCATGCCTGAAATGTAGTAAGCACTACATAAATACTTATTTACTGAATAAGAAGTCCTTTAAAAAAAACTTTACAATGCATTTTTTGTTCTCCTTCAATAGTAGGATTTTACTTATGCTGTTCACTTTGTCCATCCATACAAAGCTGCATTAGTATCTTTGCTAATGAACTTTGGAAACACATGAAGAATAGGATCTAACTTATTCTTTTTTAAGTGTTGTAACATTGTCCTACAGACATTCATCAGCTCTCAGTGATGCTGGAATTATTGTGGTATCAATGAATATGGCAATTATCTTGACACGTGATAGTGATTGTACAGGTGTGGGATAAAACATGTTAAGGAGAAAGGAACTCTTCAGCACACTAATCACAAAGATTGAATCATTTAATGGACATAGTAAAGAAAGCATACAG